TATTTATCAAACATGCAGTTTAGTTACACCAAAATACAGTAATCAAACTTTGAAAATTATTCTTATTCATCAAACATACAGTTTAGTTACACCAAAATACTAGCAAAATAAGTAAATAGCGAGTACATTTTAAAAGTTATAGCTCACAACAGAATTGAGTGAAAAAACAAGAACCAAAAATATTGAAGAAGTGATGACCACTGAATTCAAACAACTGCATGAAGCAATCATGCATGTCACTTATCTATACAAATGATATTCAAATCTAGGTAAGAATACAATTAACAGCTTTCCCCTCTACCTGACGTAACTGTTAAAAATTACAAGCTCTGCACGTATATCATTCTCCCTTTTTTTAGTTTTTGTGATCCCACATCTTCTAAGAAGACTGCATAGTGAACAAATCTTGAGCAACATCTTAGTTTAAGTTATATTTTGTTGTCATCATTATTAACTACACTTCTCTCTTCAGAATTTTAATTTTTCTTTATTCTTTGATTTATTATTGAACAGAAATCATAAACTTACTTGTCGATGTCGATCAAGAATGTTACCAAAGAAACGGTAGTGATCAGGAAACCCCTGTGACCGAGCACATTCTCTCACGCTGACCACACGATGCTGCTCAGGATGAACAACTCGACCCTGTTGAAAAAAAGAATAGAACCACGGATCTTATTTTATATTTGCTAATTGCAAATTAAATATGCATATTGAATGAGATATTATAATCACTTGAATATTTTTGAAAGTAAATCATTTTAAATCCTCAATCATTTCTTGGACTTGGAATCAACAACATACAGAATTAAATTTATGAATTCTCTTTTGTAAACACATTTTATCAACATATTCCAAAGTCCTAATGACCATGTAAAACGTGTATTAACAGTGTACAATAAATTTTGTAAGCATCTTCCATCTCAGCAAGTTACTTACAGCTGCACTTGCAAAATTTTGCAAGTTGTTTAAAAGTAAATTTCAACCCTTATTAAATTATACTTCTTTTTCTAAATTTTTTCAAGCAAAAAATTTAATGACTGAAGTTTTTAGGTATTACATTGTTTTATAGATGTTTAATTTCCAGATAAAAGAATGACATGTAAAATGGCAAATTGATGTAGAACTAATAGATCTGAACTATGTAATTCATTACTGATCTCTACTTTAATATTATAATTCTCATACAAAATGTAATTCCATATGTTATTTTTATTGAGGGTTGCTCATCATAATTAATGAAGTCCTGATGGAATATAATCTTCTGGGATAACACCCAACTTCTTAATATGCACCACATAATTCAACCATATATTTACATAGCTTGTAATTAATTGACAAATATTACCTATATCACACAGGAAACTCTTCAACATATTACATTCAAATTAAGAAATAATTGAATTCAATATCTTCAGAATGTAATTCATATAAAAGTTTAAAACACTTTTCAAAAAATAAAATATTTTTTCAGTTTAATGTTCTGCGACAAAGACGTACCTGTTTGCCCATTGGCTCAGGGTTTGTAACAGTTGTACTGAAAAAACCTTTCCATTCCAAACGGCCATACAAACCAGCCCAATGGTTGTGACGGTTTCCTGTATGCGGAAGACACCATGGGATAAGAGTGTTGTCCTGTCGGTCCATAGGATCACATGCCTTTCTCTCAGCACAAGAACAAACTCCTCTTAAGCCACCAAAAGAGTTTCGACCATTTTTTTTACAATGATGTGTGTAGCGTCTGCGAATACAAAATATTTGTGGTAAAAAGTTGTCAGTTGAAAAAAATTACTTTACTAGTTCCTTTAATATGTCATAGCCAATGGTATATCTACAATAAAAAATTGATTGTTTTGAGAAATAAACCTTTAAAAACATACTTCACATTACCTGGTAAAAATAGATCAGTAAACATACAAGCCTGCCCCTAAAATTTGAAATCAGAACAGTAATACAGTATGTCTTCTATTTATGTCAAGGATGTGTTCCTAAAAAAATTACCTTAGGTGAAACAACATAAATATAAATGTATTTTCCCATTGAAATAATAATATAAATAAGGGATATATATATTCTCATGAGATATTATTTGCCCATAATTTATTAAAAAAATATTAAACAAGTACTCAAACTCTTTGTCACATTAATAACTAAATAAATACATATTGTACATAAAATATATAAAGCTAATTGCCTTCCATGCCTTCTTCACTGGCATGTTTGCTGTCTGTTTTCCAGACATGCTTGAATGGTTTGGGCAATTTGGAGTTGTAATAAGCACAATGTGACAAGTTAAGTTGTTACAGTACCAAAGATGGCAGGAAACTCGACTGAAATTTGCATGTGATGCAGATGAGCACAATGAGGCAACGCACTTTGCCTCTTTACGCAGTGCAAAGTAGTTTCAGCCAATTCTGAAATTTTCAAAATAGCATTATAGCAAAAAAAATGATATTTATATTGCCGTAATACGTTGCCAACATTCTAGTGAAACAAGGTAAATAAAAGACTTCCTGTACTCATATTAAAATGATTATCATATAATATCCAATATTTGACAGAACATACTGTAATTTTAATCGTAATATTTGCTTACATATGCTGGACAGATACAAGGCATCCTAGATACCTAATTTGGTCAATTTTCTCTCTCTTAATTTTAGGTTTGATATTTATAAACTTATCATAAAATTAGACTATTCTTAAACATCAAGCATTGCCTGAAAATAATTAAATTATACAAATGTGTCATAATATTAAAATTACTGTGCTTATGGCATAGTTCTAGTTAGAAATATAACCAAATTCTCACCTACAACTGAAGCATGTATATTTCATTATGACTATTAATTATGTTTGAATTTCTGTAGCACAATGCATAATAAACAGTAAATAATAAAGTCAAAAATATTGAAAATTTTAAATACTTTCAACAATGCTTTAATAATAAAACATATAATTGATTGCATATGTTAATCTTTTATATGTTTGTTGGATGATACTGTAATCAAAACCCACATTTTTCGAAGTGTGCGAAAGAGATGCAATTTCAACAAGTTTTTTTAAATTTGTTATTTTCAGCCTTAGATACTTATTTCACCTCAAAAACAGTAGCAATCAATTCATAACAGAACAAGAACTGAAAATATTTTTTTATAGAATGTTCTAATATTAGCTTTGCCAGTTTTGATGCACGTCTGTACTTACCATATAAAAATATATCAACATATTAATTTCCGGCAGCTTCTTTTAGAGATCAACCTGAAAGCAAGTGTAAGAAGACAACCTTCACAGAAGATTTCCTGGGATTCTCAGAAACAAACCCATAGTAATTTAGATATGCTTTACACACAAAAGTTTACTAATAAACATCCACAGTCACTTATATTTTTAAAATGTTTAAATGCATATTGATATTACATTATCTAACACTGCTAGCGTGTAAACACACCTGTATACAACATTAATATCATTAATTTTTCATCTGTATTTAACATTTAGTGTTGCTAACATTTGCACCTGTGTGTGACATTACTTGATGTTGTTAATATTTGCATCTCTATGTATAGTTATTTACTGATGCTAATGTCTGCAACTGTATACAACATTATCAAATGTTACTACGTTCATAGCTGTACATAACATTGCCAAAGTCACGTGTGTTCATCTCTGTTTATGATAATACCTAATATACCTGATGTAATTAATGTTTACATCTATCATAACATTACTTGATATTACTAAGACTAGCACTTTTGTATGTCATTGACCTGTCACTTTATATTGATATAATGCAAGCTTTTTCACAAGTCAGTTTGAGTTACATAACTTGTATATGTACAACTGTAGCTTTACTGACAAAAATGATACATGAATTGGAAGGAATTCCTAGAGTGGTAATCCCATTCTATCCTGACAGAATGCATCCAAATTGCCAGTAGTTGAGTGTTCCAATGTGTGGTCAACCCACCAATCATCTATGTTTCAAAAGGAGAGCCAATTCAACAGAAAACCTTGCAATGTAGCATCTATTCTGTTGGGCCGAGTCAAGTGATATGCTACTGCAGTCATCACCTGTGGAACATGGCAAGCTAATAGGGTGATATGATAGTAGTGGTCCTGATAAAGGAGATCTAAGGTTTGAAAACTAGGAGCCCTGGAACAAGTGCACTTTGACGGGAAAAGCAATACACCATTGTGGAATTGTCAAAGTGAAGCCTGAAGGTGTTCCCCTTAATAAGCCCAGACCATAAGACATGGCCATTTGAAGAGCAAGAAGGACTAAAACATTGTGTTGGTAAGCCTTGTTATCCGTGCATAGATTGTGGAATTCCTGACTATTGAGATATACACTCCAATTTTGATATGATGGATTCATAAAGATATAATTTCTGGACCATGCCGTGGGAGAAGGAAAGGGGAGTAAAAAGTCGGGGTTCCTGTTCCATAGCATGGAGTTGGATGGGACTCGACTAAGCCAGACTAAGATATGTGATGGAAAAAAATACTCAGACTGACAACATATTGAGTTGGAGCAAGAATAGATGTCTCAGCTCTGAGAATGAAGCCTGCCAGTGGTAACCAGTCATTCACTGAAGGGTGTGTGTGTGTGTGCACAGGGATAGGGAATGGTTGTGACAAAAAAGATTCGTATGAAATGACAAAACCCACATGGTATGGAAGCTAGTCCAAAGGTAAGAACCTGATCTACAGTACCTGACCCTTATGCACAAAAAACACCAAAAGTGGTGGGATACCTCCACTCTCTCAATATGCAGATAGGAGCCAACTTAATCAAACTTCGACACCCACATCTGTAGATCTGTATATTCTCATTATACATTACACATGCACACAAGTACATACACATACTTATGCAATACATGACTACTCTATCTAATACACAAAATGTAATACCTCAAGATGACAAGTATAACTGTATGTGAAAGATAAACTTACAGTTTTCTGGTGTAAGAGCCATCAGAGAGTCGAAGAACCAGGTTGGGCAAGTCTCGCCAGTCAGAGCCAGGAGCCAGTGGAATATTTCTTATACGAGCTTCAACCAGGGAACTCATTTCTTTGCAAATATGATCTCTAAGAACAGGACTGCAATGTTTCCCTCGCATCTTCAAGACAAACAAATGATGTGAACAATAATGACCCCATCATGAAAGTTTCAAAAATGGTACCAAAATAAACCTAATGCTAAAAGCCATTTTTTGTACGAGTTTCAATTTCCAAATGACAGCCATTTTGGATTTATGTCATCAGAAAATGTCCATATCATTTAGTCAGAACCATAAAAAATTTCTTAGATTTGATAATAGATAAACACCTTTCATTAAAATCTCATTGTTTTGTTCTTGTTGTTATCCTAGGTATCGAAATAACAAGACAGAAATGAGCTTTAAGATTTGTTTAGGAAAAATGCAATTTATGAAAATCAGGAAAATATGGTGTACAATGCCCAGTCATGTGGCATCTATATACATCAAATAAACTACTTAACTCTTAAGTTAATGAGATGGAGAATGATTGCTTCATAATGCCCACCAGGATGAGTGTGTGTGTGGGGGAGAGAGAGATATTACTGAAAGTGAGCTTTATTGTCTCACTGAAGTACAGAAACCTGAATATTCTCACATAGTACGTCCATTTAAAAATGTTTAAAGTAGATAAATCTTCTAAACATCATATTAAAGTACCTTACCACAGAATATTTACTACCACAATATGTTCACGTTATTTCTGAATTACTCAATTTCACTCTGCTTAATTTCTATGTTTAGTAAAGAAAAGATGACAATATTAAACTAGACATTAACAGAACTACAAAAAATGAAGCACAGTGTTCCTGACTCAGATTTACTTTCATTTAATGGCTTTTCTTTTCACTCACATTCAAAAATAAATATATGTATCATGACATAGGATGATCTAAGTTTCCTTAACTCTTGTACTGACACATTTATACTCTTTCAATGTCAGGTTTATTTTTAAAATACACAACAAAAAGCAAAAGGACACATTTTAATTTTATGAGAAAGTTCAAAATGGTAAAATGTGGGAAGACTGGAAAGAAATACTCTTTCTACGTGATGGTATATAATTTCAAGTATGCATGACAATGCTTTAGAGGGTGACACAGATCCATGGGAGTAAAAGAATTAGTAATTCATAAAATAATAAAAATACCACATCATTACTTGTTAACAATATCTTTAGAAGCCTATATTTATAAGAAAATTCTATGTAAAAAAAATTATTGGTACTTACTTCACAAGAAAAACTACAGTGAATTCTCAATCATATCTACACTACGTATCACACTGGGCACTTGGGGAATAAGATAAGCATGTAAAGCAGATGAAATTTGTGCTTGGGTATAATATATAAGCATTATTGCTTAAAAAACTGTACTGGTCTAGTGGACTAGATTGTACTTTTAGATATAATTCAAAAATATTAGATTGTTGTTACACTTCAAATAATACTTTACCTACATATAGTTTATCAAAATCAACTGAACACTAAAATCAATAAACATACATTACATAAAATTCCTTTCTACGCTAACTTTAGTGTTGCTGAATAATAAACAACTACAGCACAAAAATTTCCAAAGGAAAATAAAGAATCACAATAAAATAATCTTACAAGTTTCTGAAAGTGAGATAAAGGCTCTCCATTATAAGGGATTTCTTCTGCTTTAGCTCCATTTTTTATTTCAGGAAGATCAAACATTGCATCTCGAACAGTAATGGTTCGGTATGGTGCCGAAGTTGTCCATTTAGCATTAGATAAGAACTGAAAACAAACATTTTTAACTTATTTTGGGATAGACATTTTCAAGTATGAAAGCATAACTGGGACAAAAAAAATTTTTTACTGTTACAATATGACAGAAATTATAACTTAAATAATAAAATATTTTAGGAAGACATTTCAAAAACTTGTTAAATGTTTAGCAAAAAAATAAAGTTGTTACAGTGGCAGCTCCGAATAAATCACTAGTTCAGAAAATTTAGTGATGCTTACTTTTAACAGGATGTAAAATCCAAATTACAAATAAATATATAAACTTTTGTTAAAAAACTTTTACTATTAAACATTTTCATAGTAATTAGAAACAGCTGCTATCTAATTATAAAAAAATAACAGTATTATGATTAGAAACAATATGCACAGTAAAATAACTAACATATTACTATAAATAAAATTTTAGCAAAGATAGAAGAGAAAAAGAAACAAATAAAAATATGTTTTTAACTTAAAATTACAAAATACATCTCATGTGTGAAAGACATTCTTTCTAATATTTGATCCAAATTCAAATATTTTAATATGTAACTCAATAATTTATGTAATATTGTACATTCAAATTCATATTGAAAAACTTTATTCTACTCTATATTTCCACTCAATTTAACACTAAAGCATTTTAACACTAATCATTAATCATTTTCACAGTATTGAGATTCAGCTACTTCTAGATTCATTTTGAAATTAAACATTAAAGTATCTTAAAAGTTCAACATAATGAAAAGAGTAAAATAGTATAAAGTTTATACCTAAAAACAGCTAGTAACATATAGAAAATGAAATGTTTTATATAAAACTAATTACTCAATACTAATTCCACTGCACCTTACACAGTGTGATATAGTTATTCAGGAGCAGAGAAAGATAAATATTTAATAAAATATCAAAATTCCTTCGTGGAAATCTTTGTAAAAATGGGCAGAGCTAAAGAAAAAATTAAAATGGAAAACTAAAACACAGCAAGCTAATGAAGCAGTTTGTCAATAATTTGGATGATCTTTTTGACATCACCAATGGGAATCCCATAACTTTGATCAAGATCCCAGAAAATAAGGACTTTCTTCTTGCTCAGAGGGAAAGAGGACATCATGGGTGCATGGGCCAGACAGGTAAGATTCTTTTTTTTAAACAAATCAAGGGCTGAGAAAAGAAGTGAGGCAAGTATGGACAGGAAACAACATGCAGAGTAGAAACTGCAGACCATGAATGAAACTTTCAGTTGTTGGGGAATCATCCTATAGCAGTGATGATGAGGTTGGTGAATACAATACCAATAACAGTGATGAAGATGGAGGAATAATTGGAGAATCATCTTCTAAACCTAAAATGAGGGCAAGAAGAAGTATTATCACTCCCAACTTAGCAGCAGCTATGGACAGAACCAAGTTGAGTTACAGAAAGGCAACACATGTCCTTACTGCCACAACTCACAGCATGGTTATGATGTGCAGGAGCAAACAACCAACTATTCCTTGATCCAAAGACCTCGACATTGCTTTCCTGAAGAACTTGTCAAAAACTTAAAGAAACGGTTCCAGCCAACAACCTCACTTGTAGTTCACTGAGATAGCAAACTTCTTAATAATCTCACTGGGAAAAAACAAGTGAAACACCTGCCAGTGATCCTATCTGGAGCAGGAGTAAACCAGCTTCTAGGTGTTCCAAAATTTATTTCTAGCACTGGAGAGGCTCAAGCTTCTGCTGAGGCACATTTGCAGGAAAAGTGAGAAGTCAGTGATCAAGTAAAGGCAGATTGATTTGATACAACAGCAAGCAAAACTGGTCACAGAAATAGAGCATGTGTGCTGTTAGAACAAAGATTAACTCTCTCAACACAGGTTCAGTCTATTTGACCAACCATGTGACCTCTTAACTCATTTAAAGTCTTTATAGATCTGATACTACTAACTATTAATATAGTATGTATATCTTCACAAAATTTGGCAGTCTTTCAGTAAACATTATAAGTCTTTCACATATAAAAAGTCATATTTTTTTTAGTGAAGTATTTTATCAACTAAAATGATTTGTTTGTGAATATATGAAGTATTGCATGAAACTGCATAACTTTTAGATAGAAAAAAGTATTTTTAACCTTAACATGGAAATCACTTTGCACTTAAAGTAGTCAACACTCTGACTTCTTATATTCTTGGACAAATTTTTAGTAAAATGTATTCAATTAAAAACTTTTTTTGTGTATATACAAAAAACTTGTAATGTTGTTTATTTAAAACCTGCCAAATTTCATGAAGATACATTAAGTACCTTCATGGTTTCATGGTGGTAACAAGGTCCTGTAAAATACACTGCGAAAGGACTAAAGGATTAATTATCAATTTACTACAGTCAACAGCTACATTGTATAAATGTTCACTTCAGCAAAATACAAAAAATAACCAAATCTGTTAACAGATTGGAATACGTTTGATTTTATTAGTTTTCACAAGATTAAATTTTCCACTTCATTCAGATCTGCTCATATAAATTACATGATTTTCAGACACACAACTACAAAAAAAAACTCGTCAAATGATACCTTTTTGTCATCTACCATCACAGACAACTGACATGCTCTTGGAGCAAAGGTGTGAGTGGGTTCAGGGTAGTAAGGCAATTTCTCACCAGGTGCTGCTGCCAGGATTATAGCTCTACAAGATAAAAAAAAGTTTAATAAAAAATTCTTCATTAGAAAAATATTTTTCATTGAAGACCTAAATGTTTTTGACTGAATACCTCACTTTAAAAAAGTAAGGCTGCAATGTATTGATAATTACTGAAGTATTAAAATCAAAATTCACATTTTTTTTTTCCTGCTAGTGATTAATTGGACTTCACCAGTTCTTTAAAAAATTATATCCTATTAAAAAAGAAGTTTTATAAAATATTTTATCATGTTAAACTAACTTTTTTCAATGAGAAGAATACATTTAACAAGTCTTGATAATGCCTTCACAAACAGAGTTCATAATATTTTGATAAATATGTTCATGTGACATCATTACAGCTTCTTTCCACTCGATGATTATCATGTGGAAAAGACCTACTGTATTTCTTATCATATTCAATAAAGCTATTCTTAAATGAACCAGCATTATGGTATTTGTGTGTTTTTAGAAGTGAGGCTAAGAAGCAATTTTTTCATTTACCTCCGCCTTGTTTGTGGGACTCCATAGTTACCAGCCTGCAAAACACCAAAAGTGCACTGGTAACCCATCTGTAAGAGGCAGTGAAGGGTCAGTTTCAGAACCATACTGCGTTTGAAGGAAACAAAGTTTCTCACATTCTCCAACAAGAAATATTTTGGCCGATAATAGTCACAGTAGCTCAAGTATGATACTATAAGAGAATTCTGGGAAAGAAAACATTATATTAGATAAAGTTCACATTTACAAAAAGTCTCGTATAAGGACAAAAATAGATAAAACTAATTCTCAAAGAATATAAAACTGAACGTATAAGTTACACTTATGCTTTCATTAGATATAAAGTAAAAGTTTAAAAAATGGTTTACTATTTTTTGAACTGTTATACACACATTTAGCAGAACTTTAAAGATAAAAATAATTATAACACACAAAAAATCATAGTATTATAAAATTCCAATACTCCATCATTCTTGATGTTGAAACTTCATATCTTTCAGGTAACAAACATTAACTTCAAATAAAAGTTCAAAGATACAGCTTTTGAGTGAATTGTTTTTTTTTACGTAACTTTTTTTTACAACTTTGCGACCACTTGTGTGGCCATCATCAGATAACTGTCTATTTTGTGAAATACTGTGTAAGCATTTTGTTCCAATTTAGAAAACATATAAGGTGATACCTGTGTTTGATTTAAATTAAGTTTTAGTTAATGAATAATTAATGCTTCTTTAATTTTGCTTCTATTAACTCTCTCTCAATAGGGGGTCAGTCCCAGGGACTGACCACGGGACCATTCTTACTTGCATATGGTTTTAATACTATAACTTTTAATATAGTGTGTGTATCTTCACAAAATTTAGCAAACTTTTAGTAAACAACAAATCAGTTTTTAAATGAAGTATTTTTACTAAAGATTTGTCCATGAATATATCAATTATGTGTTTTGAATAGTCTGTGTGCAAAGTGATTTTCATGTTAAGATCAAAATACTTTTTCATCTCAAAAATTTCAAGTTTCATTTGTGTAATCTGTAAAATCTCCTAAATACATTTCAAATGTTTTTTTTCCAGTGAGACTTTATATTTTATCTGTTATTTTCTCTACTCTATCTCTATATGAGATTGGTCAATTTGACCGACCTTGTAACCACCAAATAAAATCAAAATAAATCTAATTAACCCGTTTTTCTTTCTAGAATGACTTCAAGTTGTAACAGGAAACTACATTCGTTTATACTAAGTAGCTCTAAGTTTGTAACAGCATACATCTATTTATCATTAAATTTTATTGTTATATTGCCCTTTGAACTGTGTCTAACTACTATTCATGCCATTATAAGTTGTAAATCACTTGGAGAACATGGAGGTCACATTACGCTATCAAATTACATAACCCACGAGCTGCTCGCATGTGTGCCTCATGAAACATTTTATTATATTATTATTATTACTATTTATTGTACCTAATCTACCCTTAAATAACCTAAAGAGATCCCTATTTTTACATTTTAGTTACTTTTATAATAATAAATAAAGTACTCACCTGATTATTATTCTTTCTGCTGTCAACTGTCAATGACATTAACCCTACTTTTTTGTACTAATAGTAGTAATGCACTAAATAATTTTCAGTTAACTAAATAATGCACCAAAGAACAAAGAATAATAACATGCAAAAAGTAGACAATTTCCCCTAACTCTCACAATTTTTCTGGCTTTCCAACTATGTGACAAGAGCCTTTATAAATTCATCCAAGCTAGTCATTATCTTTCCCATCAGAAAAAAGCTTGTACTAACAGTGAAAGTGACAATTCTCCATTCAGAAAACGATGATATACAATACGTCATTTGATAGATGAAAACCTTGGCTTTCTATTGGTTGTTGATAATATAGAATTAAATGTAAGAGAGTACTATTAACAAAACCTGAAAGAGAGGATGCGACAGGTGGGCGTGGCAAGAGAGGTCTGATTTTTTATTTGATAGCTCTGTAACCATACAAAATTGAAGGCTATAAAAATTATGGTTTGTCTGAGCAATGATGATTTTGTATTGAGTAATTTATGTTGAATTTTGTACTTATTGGAGGGGTGGTGGATAAAATAGAGAAGATGTAACACACTAGGGGAAATTCAGGACTTTTTAAAATATTGCTGTATAAAATTAAGAATACAAAACTTGTATACTATTAACATATGGATTATTAGCTAAGATATTATGTTATACTAATTAGTATAACATAAACAAAAAATAGATTAATAAAATTTTGAATATAAGACACTAAAACCTCAGGATATGCAGTTTATCCCATGGTGATAGGGTTAAACACATATTCTTTATTTGGTACACCAGCATCATATCGTAGAACTTCTCCTGGCATGTATTTTCAAAGATTGCAAGGGGCTTTCCTCTGGTCCACATACAGAAATTTTCAATCAATTCGAGCAATCTTGGGAATACATGGACCAGTTCAGTTATGAAACTGCAGCTGACTATGATGAAATAGCAGAAGCCACAGAGGAAGCTAAAGACAGTGTCATTGAGTTTGCAACAAGACAACTTCAGGCCAGTCAACCTAGAGATGATTACCAAGAGCTTCTTGAACTAACCATAACCTTTCCTGATGGCATTCCTCCTTGTGCAGTGTAATTTATTAGCACCTGATGCACTGCATTATGCACAATGGATGGCCAAAGCATTATATGCCCTCAAGATCTGGATGTTTATGGGACAGTTTAAGCCAAGTAATCATGAGGAAAGAGGATCCCATGACATGTGCAGTACAGGATGCCCATCACAATATGGTTAACGTTATGCAATGAGAACAACATTAATAGATGAAAAATAAAAGAAGCATTAATTAATCGTGAACTAAAACCTAATTTAAATCAAAACACAGGTGTCACCCTATATGTTTTCTAAATTGGAACAGATTGCTCATGCAGTATTTCACAAAATAGAGACAGTTACCTGATGATGGTCATACGAGTGGTTGAAAAA